TGGGTGTGGGTGTGTGTGTCTGTGGGTGTTGAATAGATAGGAGAGGGGAAACAGGGGAAAGGACAGAGGCTAGTCCCTACCCTGGAACCTCCATCCATCCACCAATTAAGTAGACCCCCTGGGATGAGCCTTAGGTCAGAGGTCAAGCACTTTAGGGGCTCACTCCCCCGATGGTGGAGAGGCAGTGACCGCAAGCATGTGCCGTTTCTCGAGTGTGACTCATTCCACCTTCAAGGCGGCCCAGGATTATTTCCACCATCCCCCTTTAACCCCAAGAACACGGAGGCTGGAAGAGGTTAAGAAATGGATCCAAGAGGACACACCTGGGGCTGGCTGGTGGTGCCAGTGATGCACTGCGGAAGCACTGCTCAAGAAATGCCGGATCTGGGACCAGCAGTTAGCATAATGGCTATGTCGCTGGACTCCCATGTAGTCGACTGCGGTTCGAGTCCCGGGCCCAGTGGCTTAAACTCACGCCAGGAGCGTGTGTGTTCGTGCCCAAGATCCCAAGAGGAGAAAGGAGAAGGGATTGCGGCGTGGCCATCCCCCCAGGAGGTGATTTCTCACTTTCTATCTCTCTGTCTCTCTCTGTCTTTCTGGTGAGTGCACACACACCCTATAGCAAAAACCTCTCCAAAAAATTTTTTAAAAAAAGAAATCCCAGATCTCACAGAGAGACTGCAGTTCAAATCCCTGGCCCGGTCAGGCTGAAACATGCCGGGCACACACGCAAGTGCCCAAGATCCAATGGTCTGGAAGGCTGATGAAAGGGATCACAGCACGACCAGACCCTGAGAAAGGTGCACACCTCCCCCCCCCATTCTCATTCCTTGCACGTACGTGGTCACTTGAGCCCAGGGCTACCTGACGCTCTCACCCACAGCTGCTGCCTGAGTCTCCCAATCTGTGCAACGGGGAGCTTGGACCAGGCCCCAGGGCTGGGTGTCTTCACCCTGCTAGCCCTTCTTTCCTTCCAGAACGGAACAAGTCGGGGTAGGGGCTCAAGCTCCTGCCTTTGCTGGGCAAGGAGAAGGAGGCTGCCCTGTAGGAGGACGTGGGGGTAGGGGAGCGCGGGTGCCCTGCCTGTCCCCACCTCCCGATGGCCTGAGTGCCAGGGGAAGTTCACAGAGAGTTTACAAACCTCCTTTGTCACAGAGCTCCGCATGGAGCCATCAATCACAACCTCATTTACCCGTGTCACTTTCCAGAGGAAAGCCGGCGAGCAGTGGCGCTTCCTCCCTCACCCTCTTGATGAGGATTTCATCTAATTGGTCCTGTTCAATCACTCCCAGGAATGCAACGCGCAATTACCGCAGCGGAGCAGTGGCTGGCAGTGCGGAGATGCCGTGGCCGTCCCTGGCGTGGGCCTGGGAGTCCATGGAGGGCTTCCCTGGTTGGGGCCCCATGGGGCTCTAGAGACTTGAAGAACCCAGGAGGGGTCTGCATACAAGGGGCCTGGGGGAGGAAGGTCAGGGATAAGGGGGAGGGGAGGCCAGGAAGGAAGGAGACAGCAGGAGGAAGGACAGAGGGTGACGGAGGTACCCCCCCTTGGATGCCCAGGGAAGGCCTCTGGCTTCTGGGGTGGCCGGATGGTTCTCCTCGCAGCTGCTGACTGGGCCCCGCTGTCTGTCTCCCTCCCAGTCACCTGGGAACAGAGATGCAGCAGACTGCTGTAGACCTTGCCCAGCACTGACCCCTGACTGGAAATGCCCTAAGCACCATCCATCTGGAGGTCCCCAGCTGTGCCCAGCACTGTTCCTCCTACCTGTGTCCCCCAAACACACCAGGTTTGTACCGGCTCTCCCCTCTGCCTGGGGTGCCGTTCCCTGCTTCGACAGCCTGATGCCTCCTGGTCGTGCTGCTGGCCCCTGCTCAAGCACCACTTCCACGACCACGTCCTTTCAAATGCCCTTGGCAGGAGAGTTCCTGGCCCCTCTCCCTGGCCTCCCACTGTCCCTCACATAGGCCACACTGCTGCCATTGCCTGCTTGCCAGAGGGGCGAGTCTCTGACCACCCTGTGAGCTGCGTGGGGACCAGGACCACCTGTGTGTTGTCTTCACAGCCCTGCCCAGCATGTACGGCACATCGCTGGGGTTCAGAAAATCAACCCAGAAGGAATGAATGAATATCACCCACCTTGACAGCTCAGATAACCCAGTGACCGAGTCACATCCCCAAAGCCTGCTAGGGCTCTCCTGGGCTGTCACCCTGCTAGGGGGCTCCTGTCCCCATACAGATATGACAGCTAACAAAGGCTGCATGAGGCATTCAGCACCTAAGGCCAGCAGGTGCTTCAGAGATAAAGGGCCCTCATTTAAGTGACAGCAAACCCAAGCCCAGAGACTGGGTGACTGTCCAAGGTCACCCAGCTGCTGCATTACTGGAAGAGCCCAGCTGCAACTCCAGTAATGTGGGTCCCTAAAGCCGGGCGACCCCCAGCAACCCTCCCAGAGGCTGACCTCTCAGGCCCCTTAGGGTACAGGGTGCTCCAGGTTCCTGTCCCTCCTCCCCATCACCCCGTCCTCCCTGCAGGCCGCTACCTGAGCAGCTGGAGCCTACCTTGCGCTTCTTGGCACGGCCCTCGGCCTGCAGGGTGCGGGTACAGCGCTGCACGCACTCGGAGAAGCTGAGGTTGCTGTGGTCGGCGCTGTAGTCGAGGTCGGCCAGCCGTGCCAGGGACAGGATGTAGTTGCAGGCGATCCTCAGGATGGCCAGCTTGGACAGCTTCTGCCCATATGAGTAGCACGGCACCTGGCGGGGAAGGAGGCGTCAGGAGGGGCTGCAGGGGTCCCTGGGCCCAGCACCCGCCTTGGTCTGGCAGCGGGGGAAGTGATCAATCTGAGGTCTACCTGGGCCCTCCACCGGATTTTAGGCTCTGTTCTAAGCACCTGCTGTTTCCACACATGGGCGTCTCAACTTATCCATTCACACATCTGTGGATGTACCTGCCTTCCCATTTTGCAGGGAGAGACAACGAGGTCCAGCTCACAACCTCGAGTCTGTCCACATGGAAGACCAGTGAATTTCCACCCTGAGGAGCTCCGCCCCCTGTCCTCCCTGAGGCATCTCTCTGAGAACAGAGAACTTCCTTTTTTATTTCCTCTTTTTTTTTTTTTTTTTGAGAGGTTTTGGTCTTTTCTTGCCCAACTTTCCAGGTATTCTATACACAAGTGATGGCACCGTCCTTCAAGACAGATACATCAGGTGACCTGCAAGTCTACTCATCTGTACTCCAGCAACCATGAGGATATCTCACTCAGGAAACAGAGAAACAGAGAGAGTTTCATCCTAAGTGAGTTGCTGCATCAAATTATTAAGAAAAGTTAATAGCACACCCTTCACCCAAACTTTAGCATCTGCTTTATCAGAAAGCCTCTGAAACTCAAGGCTAAGGTGTAACATGGAAGCAGAGGAAGTAGAGGTCACTGAGGACACGTGTCAACAGATTACAGAGTCAGCGGAGAACAGCGACAAAGAGCAAAGGTTTGTACAGGACAGATGCGAGCTCAAGCATGCAATGACGCCTACAGAAGCGTGGTGAGTTCAGTAGCATTTTTAAATTTAATTATTTATTTCATTTCATTTATTAATTCATTTCTTTTCATTTGACCAGAGAGAGACACAGGGAGGCGGGGGATAGGGGTAGTGACAAAGCAAGCAACCAGGTTCGGGACTTGAACTATGGTCAGCTGTGTGGAATGTCCAGCCCCCCAGCAGCCACCATGCCACTTGCTTGTCTCCCTCTTTATTTATTTTTTATTTTTTTATTTTTTGAGAGGTTTTTGCTAGAGGGCACGTGCACTCATCAGAAAGACGGAGAGACAAAGAGATAGAAAGCGAGAAATCACCCCCCAGCGGGGAGGACCACATCGCAATCCCTTCTCCTCCTTTCTCCTCTCAGGATCTTGGGCACACATGCACACACACCCGGTGTGAGTTTAAGACACCAGGTCTGGGACTCGAACCACAGTTGACTACATGAGAGTCCAGCGACAGTCACTATGCTAACTGCTGGTCCAAGAACAGAGAACTTCCCAAGTTCTGATAATCCATTCATTCACTCAGCGATGCCTATTTTGCTGAGCAATTGGAGCCCCGGCAGTTAATAATACTAGTCCCTTTCCTCCTTCAGAAAGCTTACACTCAAGGGCCACGTGGTAACGTTGTAACAGACTCCAGAGACCAACGGAGGGAAGGGCCAGAGTTCAGCTAGAGACAGACGTGGGTGTTCCTCTTCTGTCTCTTCTCCCACATGCCTGCTGGACCTGGGGCGCTGCAGGGCACGCGGCAGGTGCCTAATAAGTACAGCCTCAACCAGACCGGACACATTCGTCAGTGATCCGTCTCAACCAGACTCTCACTAATTCACAAGGATGTGTACCAGGAAGCAGGGGGCTGGCCCTCACGTCTGTGCTGTGTGAGCAAACAGCAGCCAGGACGGCGGCCCCTTGGGCAGAGTTCTCTTCCTAACGCAGAAACGTCTCCACAAAGTTGATCTCAGGTGCTACCCAACAGGCCAGGCTGTTCCTGTGCCACTCCGGTCACTGCAATGGCTGACCTGCTCCTACCTACCAACCCAGGCTCTTGAGTGCCCCCCACCTCCCTGCCCTCCGGAGACCACCGCATCCACACCATTGACCTACCCGGATTCCAGAGAGGGACCCACACAGCACATCCACACCACAGTGTCACGTGCTAGGTGCTCTCTGGGCCGGCGGCTCTAACCAGGGACGGCTCTGTCCCTCAAAGGACAGCTGCAATGTCTGAGACATTCCTGGTTGTCACCACGGGGAAACGACATGGTGGCTGGAGGCCAGGGATGTTGCTCAGCATTGTAAGTGCAGAGGGTCCCCCGAGACCCCCACAGCAGAGAACGGCACGGCCCACATGCCAACAGTGCCAAGGGAAAAGCCCCGTCTTGGGCCCTGGGCATAAAGTATGAAGGACCCAGGCCCCTCAGACTGGGGAAAGATCTCACTTGAAACCCCTGCTTTGGCCTGATCTCCCCACACCCCCCTACCGCACGAGGAGCAGCCTCCCCCGTTCCAGTGGCTCATTTAGTGCTCGGGCTCCCCTACGCTGTGGGGGAAACACCCCTGTCTGCACAGCCTAGCACAGACCCTGCCCATATCGGGCCCTCCAGAGGGTTTGATGAATGAGGGAATGTGTGAGCGTGTGAATGATCCCCCTCCATGTTCACCAGGTGACTCCAAAATGTTTTAAACTGGGTTCAAAACCCTCTCCTCCCCTGAGGACGGAGATCTAGCTATCTGGCGTGGAACCCAAGCACGCGTACCTTTTTGTCACCCGGGTTCGACTCCTGCCTCTCACGCTGCCATAACTTGTCTAAGCCTTCGCTTCCTCAGCATGCTGTGAAGGATTGACCTCTCAGGGAGGTGAGGGCTCAATGAGATGATGCCTGCATTGCATGGAGTAAGGCCTGGCAGAAGCCAGAGAAATTATTACAACCCCTCTGTGTTGCAGAAGGTCCGTAAAGACGGACTCCAGAGAGGCGGGAGGCAGGAGGTCAGAAGCCAGGACAGCATGGCGGCCCCATTCCCCACCCTGGGGGTCCTGAGACTAGAACACCCAGGGAGGGAAAAGGAGGTGACAGAGAGAATGCCATCTCATGCATTCCCTGCCCCCACCAGCCTCTCACCCCCAGCCCTGGCCATAGCTCCAAGAAAAGCTGGCAGAACAATGCTTGTTCCCGACCACAGTCCAGAGAATCCTGCTTCATCCGCCTGAACAAATAAACAAGGTCTGCAGGTCCGGGGGCAGGGAAGGGGGCCCAGGGGCCAGCCCAGTTCCTCGGCCACTCCTCACCTCAGGGAGGGTGTGTCGGCCTAAGGGAGGCTCTGGGGCTCGGGGTGCAGCCCCATGACACGGCCTCTGGCACCGTTTTCCCCCAGAGGTCACGCTGGGAGTTTCCCTTGAACATCTAGCTCTCTGAGCCCTGGGCCCATGACAGCTGGGCTTCCAGGAGGGAGCAGGGACCTGGGGAAGGATCAGCACGCGCGACCGAGGGTCACTGCAGGACAGCAGAGCAACCGACATAGCCAAGGCCAACCCGGGACCCCCATGCCAGGTTCTTAGTCCTGTGTGCTGGAGCGAGGTCTAGCTGGGGCTGGGAGGGATGGAGAGTTTTGGGGACCTAGGAGACCTGGTGAAGATGCCTAAACCTGTTCCCGTAAAGTTGCACAGTCCTGTGGGATGAGCACGAGGCAGGGCTTTGTCCTAGATTTGTCACTCTGTCTCATCGCTTGTGTCAAGTGCCAGGTCTAACAAGACAACCACTCAGGGAGCTTTTGTATTCTGCAGCTGTTTACAGACAGTATTTGCTTATTTAAAACCCTCCCACCTACATACAAGAAAATGGGAGGTGACATACTGGGCCCCAGAACACTGCGCCGAGACCCAGCTAGAGCCAGAGCATGCTTCATGGCACCAACTCCACCCCCAGGGTGGCCGCACGTGGGGCACCAAGGGCCCTCTAGGGCAGCTCTCCCTTCCTCTTGCAATTTCCCTAGGGGCGGCTCCTGGCCAATTCTGATCTTTCTGGTGCCCAGGACCCAGTCTGCAGCCCCTTGACCCCCAACACCCCCTGATGGAGGCACCTTGGCCTGGGCTGCCACCTCAAAGCAAGGGTCCAGCAACTGGTTCTGGGAGGTGGAAAGACCTGGTCTGAATCCTAAGCACTGAGCAGCAGCGTGGCTTTGTACGACTGCCTTCGCTCCTTTGGCAGCCTGTGTCCTCATCTGGACCATGGGAATAACCGTGCCCGTGTAGTGCACCGGGCTGCCAGGACTGCACACGGCCGCTCGTGGCAGGGTCTGTGCAGCACAGACTGCGTGGCTGCCAGTACAGGCCACCCTGCTGCTCGCCCGTGGGGACAGTGCTTCCCAGACTTAGCTCTGTTATCTCCTCAGCAGCCCAGTGAGGCAGGAACCACCACTCCCACTTCACCGAGAAGCACGTGACTCCCAGGTATGTAGGAACTTCCTGGGTCTCCCAATGGGTGAGAGACGAGCTGAATGCATGGCTTCACTGGGCACGTTCCAGAAATTGCTTGGGCATTCAGGTAAGCACCTGCCATCTACAGCCTACATGGGGAGGTGGGCAGTAGCCCTTCTGAGCTGGGGACAGAGCGCTCCGGCCCGATGGCCCCATGGGACCTCAGCCTTGGTGCCTCAGCTCTCTGACCATCCATGGCAAGGCCCTGCCCCTGTGCAGGATGCTGGGCCCAGCCACTCAGCCTGGCCAGGCGCTCAGGCCAGAGGAGGGGGCAGGACTACCTGACTCCCACTCCCGACAGACTGCACAGCTCCCGGGAAGGTACAAAGCCCTGCCTCGTGCTCATCCCACAGGACTGTGCAACTTTACGGGAACAGGTTTAGGCATCTTCACCAGGTCTACGTCCCCAAAACTCTCCATCCCACCCAACCGCAGCTGGCCCTCGCCCCAGCACACAGGACTAAGCAGGAAGGGTCCGGCTCTACCCTAGCCATCCGCATGACCTTGGGCAGGTCCATAACCTTACAGGGCCTCGGCTTCCTCACCCATGAAACGGGCATACAAACACCTGCTACCTCCGAATGGGATCGCAATGGGCAAACGAGGAAACGATCTGTGGAGAAACAAAGCCAGACCCTATCAGAAAAGCAGGGAAGGCCCTGAAGCCCTCCACCTTCCTGCTTCTGAGCCAATTTCTGCCCGTCTTTCAGATCCAGCCCAAGATTCTCCCTCTCCCACCCCCACCCCCTGAAGCTGAGACTCTTGGCCCCACGGAGTGCCTGCGTCACTGCACTCTGAGCAAATACTGTCTGTAAACAGCTGCAGAATACAAAAGCTCCCTGAGTGGTTGTCTTGTTAGACCTGGCACTTGACACAAGCGATGAGACAGAGTGACAAATCTAGGACAAAGCCCTGCCTCGTGCTCATCCCACAGGACTGTGCAACTTTACGGGAACAGGTTTAGGCATCTTCACCAGGTCTACGTCCCCAAAACTCTCCATCCCACCCAACCGCAGCTGGCCCTCGCCCCAGCACACAGGACTAAGCAGGAAGGGTCCGGCTCTACCCTAGCCATCCGCATGACCTTGGGCAGGTCCATAACCTTACAGGGCCTCGGCTTCCTCACCCATGAAACGGGCATACAAACACCTGCTACCTCCGAATGGGATCGCAATGGGCAAACGAGGAAACGATCTGTGGAGAAACAAAGCCAGACCCTATCAGAAAAGCAGGGAAGGCCCTGAAGCCCTCCACCTTCCTGCTTCTGAGCCAATTTCTGCCCGTCTTTCAGATCCAGCCCAAGATTCTCCCTCTCCCACCCCCACCCCCTGAAGCTGAGACTCTTGGCCCCACGGAGTGCCTGCGTCACTGCACTCTGTCCCTCTGACGCTACTGGGACCTGCATCAGTGACTGCTGGATCCGGAGCAAAGCCACTCCACGCAGAGCTGAACTGTCGGGTCCTCGTGGGGACTGTGTAAATAGGTCCTTAACAGCCCCGCCTCCTAGACAGCCACCAGCTGGAGCCTCAGCCTGGGTCTCCGTGGTAAAGAGTTCCGCCCTAGGGAAGGAGGCGTGGCTACCTGATCCTGGTCCCTGTGATTGAGCAATTTGCTGAGCCTCTCTGCAGGTGTTCTCACCTGCGAATGGGGAAGGGGAAAGCAGCACACAGATTCCGCAGCGACAAGCCCAGCTGAGGTGCCTCATTGACACAGTCAGACTTGACAAGTGGCCATCCTGGTGACCGTGGCCACGATGGGGCAGAAGAGCGGCCTCTGTTCCCTGGCCTACCTTCATGGGGCCCTCGACACAAGCACATCTGTCCCCCACTCTGCAAAGGCTGCGGCCTTGATGTGCCCCTTTCACCCCGCGGGGTTTAGAGCAAGGAAGGGACTGTGCTGAGAGCACTGTCCCCATGCCCTGTCCTGGGCCACCAGAGTTCACTCGTGAGGACGCCCTGGAAGACTCCAAGTCCCCGCTAGCTTGGCACCTCCTTCACGGTAGAGGGCTGGTCCCGCTGACCATTCCT